AAGATAAGGGAATTAGAGTTTGTATGAGAGACTTGCTTGAAGCTGGAGCGAGAAGACTGAAGGACATACAAGAGGCTGGAACATCCAGGCAAAGGATTAAGAATGAAAAAGAGCTGGATGTGCACTTGAACCTTCTGTGAAGGCCGTTACAGATGCAGGGCTAAGTGGACGAGGTAGAGTGGAAGGCAGGGATTTCTTGGGAAATGAATGATCTTGAAACCATTGCAGGTGTCTGGACTATTACAATGTGCTTGTCCAGACTGTAGCATTATGGGAAATGATAGAAAACCCCCAGAATGTTGGCATATGTCAGGAATTTTGCACAGTCTTTAGGATGGTTCTATGAGAGACAGCTTTTAGGCCTGCACACCCTGTTTTGAGCTTTTAGTTCTGCTAACAGTGCCTCTCAAGACAAGCTTACAGGCAGCCCTATAACCTGGAGCCTTGCAGGGCTGGAAAACGTGCCTCCTTCCTCCAAGAAAAAGTTAGTGCCCGCAGAAACGGGAGGCTTCAAGGAGAATAATGTGAGCAAGAAAACACCAGCGTGCAGAATTGCAGCTTGTAGACAAGTATTGCAATGTATTAAACATTTTCTGCCCACAAAGAGGAAAAATTGGGGAAAGAACAGATTGTCAATGGTCCCTCTGTACATTGCAGAACTATTTTGGATAGCCTCAAGGCAGAAGCCATTTAGCTGAGTACAGGCCGCCCCTCTGGTTTCAAGAATGGATTTCCCAGTCTCAAAGGCTACGTCTAGACAAGGTGTCTGGAACTGAATGGAAATAGGAAACATGCAGGTTTTAAGGAACTGCCAAGGCCAGCTCATTGGAAATTCAGTTTCCTTAAAACCCTGGCTGATAGCAGCGAGTGGTCACTCCCACGGTGGCCACCTCCAGTCCCTTGAGCACCACTAACAAGAAGTGAGCAGTTAGAGCTGTATAGACTTCAGAAAGGTCAGCCTGCCGATGCCACCTGATGTGGATGTGGAAGTTGAAGGGCAAGGGAGGGGAGCGCCTCCTAGCGGGAACCTGGAGCTTCCAGCTAGGCTAACCAAGCCACCGCTCACTGCCAAGACCTGGGATTCCTACAGTTTGGATCCAGTTTCTGCTACTTGCAGGCAAAAGCATTCTCAAAGACATGCTTCTTGTGGTACCGTTATATATTTTTGGTTTGTTGAAAAACAGACATGGGCTGGTGTAGTGGCTCAAGTCTTAGAGATCTTGTCTAGCAAGTGCAAGGTCCTGAGTTCAAACCTTAGTACCACCCCTCCACCCCCCCAAAAAAAATCAAACAAGCCTAGCATGCTTCTGTGCTGCTGTAGTCCAAGCTATTTGGGAGGCTAAGGCAGGAGGGTCTCTTGAGCCCAGGAATTTGAGGCTTTCTTGGGTAACATAGTGAGAACTTGTCTCAAAAAAAAAAAGGGCAGGAGGAGTGGCTCAAACAGTAGAGTACCTGCCTAACAAGCATGAGGCCCTGAGTTCAAACCCTACTGACAAAAAAAAAAAAAACCTGTCTAAAACATGAAAAATATATATGTTGCAGGGCGCTGGTGGCTCACACCTGTAATCTTACTCAGGAGCAGAGATCAGGAGGATCGCAAATAGTTCTTGAGAACTGTCTCAAAAAAACCCTTCACAAAAAGGACTGGTGGAGTGACTCAAGGCGTAGGTCCTAAGTTCAAACCCCAGTGCCGCGTGCACACACACACACACACACACACACACACACAACCAAGACCCTAGCCAGTCACCAGTAAGCTTCCCCTTGTCCCTTGTGAAAGTGAGGTAGCAGTTTTCCTCTCCTGGGGGCCTGGGGAATGGAGAGAGAAGAAGCAGGGAGGCAGGTCTGAGCTCCCTCTGGAGAGCCACACAATTATTGGGATATTTATGCCCAACTTGTCCTGGAATTCAGACTTTAGCAGAAGGTACCGGGACATTCATAGTCCTAAAAGGATACTTTTCTCATGAGTATGCCCTAAGCTATTGGTTGGGTTTGAAATTCAAGGTCTGTGTGGCCATTAATATCCATGACCTGATTTTTTGCTTCCAAACACTACAGGAGAAAATCTTTTATTTATGCCTCTCTGTTTTGAAAACAGGCAGACATCGAGAATGGCTGTGTTATTTAGGACACTTTGGTTATAAGTAACAGGAACCACGAGAAATGAGAGTAAGCAAAGGAAGATTTAAAAGGGTAGAGTGTCTCACCCAGCCCCAGCAGGCTCCAGCCAGCCCAGAGAAAGGAGCACAAGCCACTGGAGTCCACATCTCAGCCGCCCCTGCTGCACACGCCGGCTTCTCATGCTGCAGAATGACCTGTGCTCCTCGGCCCATATGGTGTCCAGCGGCAGCCTGGCAGCTCCTGGGATGACATCTCAAGTCAGCCACCCACAGAGCTGGATGTGACATTTCCTAGGCTCAACTCCAATTCCAAGAAGAGACAATCTGATTGGCCACTAGGTGATCAGGAGTGCACCTCTTGTCCTAAGCATTTGAACCAGGGAGGGAAGGCATACTGTCCAATGTAGCTAACCGGTTCCTGGGAAGAGGAGTTACTGCACACCAGAGCTCCAATCTGATCATTCCTCCCTGCTGGAGCGGAGGGTTCCAGATTTGAAATAGAGGGGACACTGCCCGAATGTGCTGATGATGTGAACTACAGCCCTCATGATGGCAGTGACCAGGAGGAATTTGATTCAAGGACAGTCCCAGCAAAAAAGGTAGCAAGACCCCATCTCAACCAATAAGCCAAGCTTGGTACTGCACATTGCTAGAGAACTCCAGCTTTTACAGTTTTAAAGGTTTGTATTTTAAAAAGAATGCTATGTGGCCAGGTGCCAGTGGCTCACACCTGTAAACCTAGCTACTCAGCAGGCAGAGATCAGGAGATCTAGGTTCAAGGCCAGCCTGGATCAATAGTTCAAGAGACCCTATCTCAAAAATGCTCAACACTCAAAAGGGCTGATGGGTAGTTCAGTGATAGAATGACTACTTGCAAGCATGAGGCCCTGAGTTCAAACCCCAGTGCTATCAAAAAAAAAAAAAAAAGAATGGTCTGTGATAGGAACTTTATGTGGTACAAAAAGCCTAAAATATTTATTATCTGGTCCTTTACAAAAAGTTTATGACCCTAAGAAAGCAATGCTACTCAAAGGGCCATGAATGGTAAAGTCTGTGAGCGCTGACGTGAACATGTCCCCAAGGGACATATCCCAAGACCTCCAGTGGCCTGAAAGCATGGGTAGTACCAAATCCTATTGATCCTTTTGTTGCTGTTACTGCCTTTGAGACAGGATTTTGCTACATAGCCCAAGCTGGTCTCCTGCCTCATCCTCTTAGTGCTGGGATTACAGGCATGCACCACCACACCCCACATGGAAGACTTTTATTGATTATTTATTTATTTATTTATTTTGTGGTGCTGGGGCTTGAACTCATGGCCTGTCTACACCTTGAGCCACTCCACCAGTCCTTTTTTGTGATGGGTCTCTTCGAAATAGGATCTCATGAACTATTTGCTGGGGCTGGCCTCAAACTGTGATCCTCCTGATCTCCGCCTCCTGAGTATCGAGCATTACAGGCATGAGCCACTGGCGCTGGGCTGGAAGACCTTCTTTATGAAGGAAGTTGTGTTTTCATTAACATTCTGACACATGCCCCTTGTCTCCATGGACCAGTGCTGAGCAGAAATTATGTAAAGAATTAAAAAGTAAGGTTGAACTTACTTTTTACTTTAGGGTAAATTGGAACAAATGTAAGAAATATAAAAATTAGTTTTCTCATGTTTTTTAGAAATTATTTTTCTTCTATAATATTCAGAGTTATCTATTGAAAATAAGAGACAGGCCGGGCACTGGTGGGTCATGCCTATAATCCTAGCTACTTGAGAGGCTGAGATCGGGAGGATCATGGTTTGAGGCCAGCCTGGACAAATAGTTTGTGAGACCCTATCTCGAAAATAACCAGAGCTCAAGTGGTAGAGTGTCTGCTTTGTAAGCAAGAAGTCCTGAGTTCAAATATCAATTCCAGCCCCCCCAAAAAATTGAGATAAAAATTATAATAAAATATCATTCAAGTCAAAACTTTAACACATAAAATTCAAAATTATTTGAGTAACATTACTTTAAATTTACCTTAAAAAATTAAGTACGTAAAGGCTTTATAAGAGAAAAGTGATTATAATTATAGCATTATAAAGAAAAACCTGAGGTACAATAGAAATTTAACAAGTTTATTTGAGTAGAGCACATTCCCGCAATCTGTCAGCTGGCTACTTGCAGGTAGCTGAGGTGGTTTGGTTTCTAACATAAAAATTTACCAGCAACGAACCAAGTTATGTCTCGCTTATGTCTGCAGGGGAAGCGAGATTCTGGCTGTGTTTAAGGCTCTGTTGGCTTTATTTGCTGAGGAAGTTTTCAGGCTCAGTATTGATTTTAATTGTGCTTCAATCACATTCAATACCTGGCCAATTTCATGGTCACTGCCACATGTGCTCATCGCCCTTGCCCACCAGGTGCTTTGCCCAAGCCAACAGCACCTCTGCAGTCTGAACCACTCTGCCACTCCAAGAGGCAAGGACCACAGTTATTTGTGGTTCTGAGTCCACAAGATAGAACTAAATAAAAACGTGGATACTGGTGATGGCGGAAATGTTTCTGATTATAGAATTTCCACCAAATCATCTTCAAGGACCTGGCAGCCATACTCTTGAGTGAGGACACCACCAGCATACTCATTTATGTGAGATCAGGGGAGCAAATGCTTCACAAACGAGAAGGAATCACACACATATCATTGTATTTTTTTATCAGTGATTTGATCAACTTCTAAAGCCCCTTAACCTTTGATTGGCACTTCCAGTAATTCAGCAGTATCCAGTGTCCCAGCTGGTTTGATCAACATTCATTTTGTGAGGAGTCTGCTCTGGGGAGCCCAAATCTCCAGTTCCACTGTCAGGAGGCCAACAGCCCATCAGCCTCTCTCCTTTCCTGTGCCCAGTGTCTATGTGCTGCACTGGAGCCGGTTCTTGAAGTAGTGGAGAGCCAGCTTGTACTGGATCTCATCTTTGGTGTTGGTCCGGTATTTTCTGTAGCTCTTCTCCAGGGCAGCCAGCTCTGGGTCCCTCTCAGAAGAATGGGACTGGTGGCCTATGATCACCTGTGGGCATGAGCCCACCAGCAGGCTTCCCAGTCCATCAATAAAGAACTCTGCAAAAGACAGAGAACAGGTGAGGTGGGAGCCTCACCAGAGAGCAGGGCCCCTCCTCCAGCTCTGGGACAACAGTCATGGAGACAGGACAGTTCTACAGCCCTAACTCCAGAAACCCATCGGGGCCCATGCTGATGGGGTTTGAGGAAAGAAACAAGTTCATTTTGCAAGCAAAGGTGTGGTCAGAAGGGGTGAGTTCAGGTTTCCTCTAATCGGAACTGCAGGCTCCCTATGAAAGAACTCAGAGGAGTCAGGGAAAAGGCAGGTGCCTGTGTGGTGGTATAGGAAAGGACTTTCTGGAAAATGAGAATATTAGTCAGGGTGGCAAGAGGGAGGGAACAGAGTAGTAGGGAAAGGAAGGGAAAGAGTGTCTCAGTAGGGACAGCCCCAGGGAGTCTCAGAGCTGGAAGAGAGGTGAGGAGGGAGGCAGGAGGGACCGTGAGCTCCCTACCTAGCCTGGAGGGAAAGTGGAAGGAGACCCTCTGGGTCAGCCCTTGGGAAGGACAGGTTTCCAAGGTGACCCCAGCCTGCTCCTTTCCTCAGCCTTCCAGCATCCCACCTGTGTGAGCCACTCGTTGTAAGCGTGGATCAAAGCCCACTCTTTGGAGGCGCTCTGTGTGGGCCAGGAAAAAGTTGACAACGCCACTGGTCACCATGCAGCTGGGGAAGCCTTCCAGGTGCTGATATGCTCCTGACCTCCGGTGAATACAGTCCCCATTCTCACCCTGTTCCAGCAACAGCTTGAACTGGAACAGCTTTCCCAACACACTGCCGCCCACCTAGCCAGCAAGCACAGCATCGGTTTTCTTTTTCCTTTCTCTTTATGGTTCCCATGTGCACACAAGGCTTGGTCGTTTCTCCCCCGCCCCCACCCCCTACCACCCACTCCGCCCCTCCCGCTCCCCCCCACCCCTCCCTTACCACCCACTCCGCCCCTCCCGCTCCCCCCCCCCTCCCTTACCACCCACTCCGCCCCTCCCGCTCCCCCACCCCTCCCTTACCACCCACTCCGCCCTCCCGCTCCCCCACCCTCCCTTACCACCCACTCCGCCCCTCCCGCTCCCCCAACCTCCCCTACCACCCACTCCGCCCCTCCCGCTCCCCCCACCCCTCCCTTACCACCCACTCCGCCCCTCCCGCTCCCCCCACCCCTCCCTTACCACCCACTCCGCCCCTCCCGCTCCCCCCACCCCCTCCTTACCACCCATCCGCCCCTCCCGCTCCCCCCACCCCTCCCTTACCACCACTCCGCCCCTCCCGCTCCCCCCACCCCCTCCCTTACCACCCACTCCGCCCCTCCCGCTCCCCCACCCCTCCCTTACCACCCACTCCGCCCTCCCGCTCCCCCCACCCCTCCCTTACCACCCACTCCGCCCCTCCCGCTCCCCCACCCTCCCTTACCACCCACTCCGCCCCTCCCGCTCCCCCCCACCCCTCCCTTACCACCCACTCCGCCCCTTCCCGCTCCCCCACCCCCTCCCTTACCACCCACTCCGCCCCTCCGCTCCCCCCACCCCTCCCTTTACCACCCACTCCGCCCCTCCCGCTCCCCCCACCCCTTCCTTACACCCACTTCCGCCCCTCCCGCTCCCCCCACCCCCTCCCTTACCACCACACTCCGCCCTCCCGCTCCCCCCCAATACCCAGCAGCAACTATTTTCCCCTTATCTCTAATTTTGTTGTAGAGAGAGTATAAGCAATAATAGGAAGGAACAAGGGTTTTTGCTGGTTGAGATAAGGATAGCTATACAGGGCATTGACTCACATTGATTTCCTGTGCATGTGTGTTACCTTCTAGGTTAATTCTTTTTGATCTAACCTTTTCTCTAGTTCCTGGTCCCCTTTTCCTATTGGCCTCAGTTGCTTTAAGGTATCTGCTTTACTTTCTCTGCGTTAAGGGCAACAACTGCTAGCTAATTTTTTTTTTTTGTCTTACCTATCCTCACCCCTCCCTTGTGTGCTCTCGCTTTTATCATGTGCTCATAGTCCAATCCCCTTGTTGTGTTTGCCCTTGATCTAATGTCCACATATGAGGGAGAACATACGATTTTTGGTCTTTTGAGCCAGGCTAACCTCACTCAGAAGGATGTTCTCCAATTCCATCCATTTACCAGCGAATGATAACATACAGAAATGGTTTTCAACAGCACAGACTCACTATCCATCCTGCCTCTTCCAGGAAGTGTCACTGGACTGCACCTCACTGACAAGAAGAATTGTACTGTGGCAGGTTCAGTGGCTCATGTCTGTAATCCCATCTACTTCAGAGGTGGAGATCAGAAGTATCTGGGTTCGAGGCCAGCACAGGCAAAGGTTAGTGACACCCCCATCTCAATCAAGAAGTCAGACATGATGGTGCATGCTTGTGGCCCCAACTACATGGAGACTGTAGGTAGGTGGATCTCAGTCTAAGGCCAGCCGCAGGGAAAATTTCAAGACCCTGCCTGAATAATAACTAAAGTGAAAAGGGGCTGCAGTATGGCTCAAGTGCCTACCCAGTGTGAGGTCTTGAGTTCAAACCACAGTGTCACCAAAAAAAAAAGTTACACCCTTTCTGGATCTACCCTTCAAATGACCCCACCTGTATTTACATTAAAAAAATTATTGCTGGGCACTGGTGGCTCACACCTGTAATCCTAGCTACTCAGGAAGCAGAGATCAGGAGGATTGCAGTTCAAGGACATCCCCAGCAAATAGTTCAGAGACCCTATCTCAAAACAACCAATGCACACACACAAAGGACTGGTGGTTGTGGCTCAAGTGGTAGAGTGCCTGTTTAGCAGGCATGAGGTCCTGAGTTCAAACCTCTCCACCACCAAAAAAAAAAAAATTGTTGACAAAGCCAGAGACAGCTCTGTTTAATCTCACATCAGTGCAGGGAGGGAACACATCATTTTAAAGGTATGACAATTGGGAATTCTTGGTGAGGTGTGATTTACTCAAAGAAAAATAAGCATAGAGGCAAAAGTCGAATTCTTGCATCTTCTGATTCCCTGTGCCATTCTCTGGACTCTGGAGCTGTGCTGAGTACTCACCTGCATCAGCCCCTCTAGCTTCCCTCTCCTTCCCTCCCTCTGCTGTTCCCTCAGACTCTCTCATCTCTTTCTCTTCTGCCACCCTTCCCCTATCACAGCAGACTGGCAATTGTCCCTTACCATGTCCAGTTCAGTTTTCTCCAGGACATCTACCAGCACCTCAATCTTGGTCTTGTTGTTGAAGAGAAAGTCATCATCCACCCAGAGAACGTACTTGGTGGTGACCTGAGAGATGGCCAGGTTCCTACCAGCAAACCAACCCTGTAAATGGCATGAGGTCAGAGCAGAGGTTTGTCACTCTGGATACAAAGTAGAATCACCTTGGAGAGCTTTCTCAATTCCTGTGGCCAGACTGCTCCCCAGATGAATTAAGTCAGTATGGGGGGGCGGGGATTCCAATGGACAGCCAAAGCTGAAAACTAACGGGATGAAATGGAGTCGGTGTGCAGAGAAACACGGAAAGAGACACCACTTCTGGATCAAACACTGAGACAAAGGCTAGAAAGCCCTGGCTCTGTGGCCTCTGTGAATTGAATGAAGTCCTTTTCACCTGACAGAGTTTTCTGTGTCCTCTCTATCTCCTAGGACATGTCAGATTGGGTGGACATCTGATGTATATAATATCTATTTCCTCCTCTGTCCTTGCAGGAAGTGGGGGAGGGCAGGCAGGAGGGAAAGAGACGACAAATAGACAGATAGACCTGACTTGGCAGAATCATGAGGATAAGAAATTTCTCTGTTGTTGGATTACACATCAAGAATCCTTGGGATGTCAGACACTCAAGTCACTTAAAGGAACCCCTATCAATTTCCCTACCAAATATGAAGAAAGATGGGAATAACCACTCCATTAATTTGGAAAATGAGAGCAACCCAATTTTCTTTCTGAAACTGGAATTAGCAAAGGGACTCAGAGAAGAGGCCCAACCCTCCCAATTCAGGACCTGCTTCCTCAGGAAGACCATGGAAACAGCCCCATCCAGGGTGGAGTCTGACAATGGGGATCCAGGTGTCCCCCAGTTGAGAGGGCCATACCTTCCCAAAGGGCATGGTATAATACTCCACATATTTGTCATTAATTTCCATGGGTTTCTTGCTGTCATCAGCCACGATCACAGTCAAGTCTGGGTAAAACTCTCGAATACTCCGGAGCAGGACCATAAGCTTGTGGGGGCGGAGGAATGTCTTGGTAGCAATGGTCACCAGGTTTCTGAGCTTCCTGTCTGGACAAAAAAAAAAAAGGGTTGATGCTAGAGTTCTGTCTTACAGAGGTCTTACTGCCTTGACTTGCTTCGCTCTGGTGGGATTTTTTTTTTTTTTTGCTTGTTTGTTGTTTGCTTGTTCTGTTGCGTCTGTTGTTTTTTCTTTTTGTAGTGCTGGGATGGAACCCAGGGCCTCATGCATGCTAAGCAAGTGTTCTAGCACAAAGCTACATCCCCAGCCCTGATAGCTTCTCTAAACCACAACCTGTCAGTGTTTGTGGTCCTCCGTGCCTCTTGTACATAAGGGATGCTTAGTAAAAGTTTGTCAGCTAGACTGACAATTTTTGGACATTTTATGTTTTTTCCTTTCCTGGGGTTATTGGCTCCACTCTGCTATTTTCCTACTGTCTGAAGGCTTCATTTTTCACTTGCCTGCTAGCCCTTCCCTTGAGGTCTGCTTCTATCTCAATACTAGAAGTTGAGATGCACAAAACCTTGTCACTCAAGGGGTATAGAATGGAGGGTCACAGAGCCAAGAAGAGGAGAAAAAGTCTAGAGGACTTCCCACCCACTCTTACTGTCAGCTCCAAGTCCTTCGTGGTCTTATCCTCTGGAAATCTTCATTGGAAATAGGCCTACTTGGAGGTGAAGGCCTGAGCCAGATTGTCCCTCTTAAGGTATGTGACTTACATAAAAGATTGGAGAAAAGACAGCAGTTCCAGGAAAAAGATCCCACAATGAAAGCTGCAGCTGTTGGTCTGTGTTTGAGATTCAGCTATCATAGGTAAAGCCTAGCAGCTGACTGAGCTCATGCAGTGTGGGGTGGAGAGGATGGTTGGAATAAATGCATGCTGAAAGCCTCTGCTCATGGATGCATGCTCCGTAACCCCATAGAGAGCTACTTTGTCAGCCTGAAAGAAAAATAAGTCATTCCACAATCCCTAAAGTGCATGTTACCCCATTACTGCAGTTCCCTCGGAGTCTGATGGAGTGAGAGGAAGAGACCCTTGTGCTCAAGACCAAGCCAAATGAATCCTCCCAGGGGATGGAATCCAGGGTCTCCTGAATGCTATACAAGCACTGTACCAGAGGTGCAACCTCAGCCCCACCTGAGTCATTCTATAGGAACATTTCTAAAATAACTCAGTGTACATAAGGAGCCCAAAACCATTAAAGAACTGATATTTGGAATTGACATTTAAAAAATTTCTCCCCCTTTCTTTCACTCCACTCCTAACCTCTAAACCCATTCCCAACTTGAACCAAAAAGGAAAGTACACAAGGACCAGATAAGTTTTTAACAAATTTAAGGGACATACAATTCCTATATCATTAAAATCTACTTCAGAAAAACAGTGAAAAAAAGGAAAGCAAGTAGGTGATCTATGAGACTTGTATAATATTGATGAGGATGTAATAGGAAAATATAGTCTCAGTTTTAAATATAAATGCAAGAAGCCTTAATAAAACAGTGCCAAATTTAACTTGGCATTTCATTAAATAATGCATTTCAATCAAGATGAAAAACTGGCCAATATACACACAGTAAGTTAAATCTAACTAATAACATTAGAGAAATACATCTTAGAATGTTCTTCTTCCAAACAAAACTTGTGGTCAGGAGTTATTCTGACCAACTCTCCTCCATCTCAGAGGTGATCCCTTCTGAATTTCACCAATAGGGGGTCATTGTGGTGCCCCAAGGTCAAGAGCCTTACCTGGTCCAGGGTCATATAATTTGGGTATGACAGGATAACGGATGGTCACTGGAAACTTGGCCACTGATGACCTGGACTCCAAGCTCACTGGAGGGAGAAGAGAGAGGTCAGAGCCCAGGCAAAATCCTATCTAGATCAGATTCCACACTGCCCCCAGAAGCCTACATGATGGGGGAACACAGGTAGTAGGGGGAATCCTCCTAGGATGAGCTGAGGACCCCCAGGCCTAAGGCATCTGCTGGGCTCCTGGCTTGCTGTGCATCCCTGGGATGACCTTCTGCTTCCCTCCTGCCCCTCTCACGCTGTGAGAACACGCTGGGTAGAGTGTACTTGGGATCTGAGAGCCTGGATTAAGTTTGACTTGTCATGTGCTGTCTGAAACACCTTTGGTAAATCACTTCACCTTCTCCATCTACAATACCGGCCCCATTTTCCCTCACAGGGTCATTTTCTGAAGGGAAATGTTTTAGAATCAGAAGCTGGGGAGAACTATCTTTTTAGCTAGTGGTCATGACTCCTGCATCCCATGTTGCATTTCTTTTCTGTTGCTGTCCTGGGACTGCATCCTATGTAGCTGCTCAGAAGGATGTTTCTGATCCAGAAAGAGTGGCAGCAATTGTTCTCCCAGGAATTTCCAGGGTGAGGGGGCAAGGGGAGGAGAAAAGGTCATGCCCTTGGAGCTGGGAATCCTCCCCTTCCTTCTTTCCATTAGTGTCCAGGACAAGATATTGATGCACAAACTGGCTCCCTCCTCTCACAGCAGGAGACTTCAGCTTTGTGAGCTGCAGAGATGACTAACGGAATTGCTGGTGCTATGGTTTGGATGTGTCCCCAAAGGATTATGTAGTAAAGACCTGGAGTCTTCAGGAGGTGGGGCCCAGTGGGAGGTTTCAGGCCATTGCGGGTGTACCCTTGAAAGGGAATGTGGACCCAGCTCCTTCCTTCTCTTTTGCTTTCTGGGTCACGAGGTGAGGGTTTTCGTTCCACCACATGCTCTCCACCAAGATGTGCTGCCTCGCTACAGGCCCAAAAGCAACGAGTCCCAACCCCAGCCTTGGCTTGAAACCTCCAAAACTGGTGGCAAAAAATAACGCTTTCCTCTTGTAAGCTGATTATCTCAGGTATTTGGTACAGTTGATGGGACACTGACTAAACACAGGACAAGAAGTTTTTTTTTGTCTTCCTGCAGTGCTGGGAGATCGAACCCAGGCCTTGCACATGACAGGCAAATGTTCCATTACTGAGCTGCATCCCAGCCCGACAAACACAGGTGGTTTTCTCAGTGAGCACCCATCAAGAGCAGCATGATGGACTGTTTTCTCCTCCAGTACGCGTCCATGGGGGTTGATGGCAACATGGGGATAGTACTCGGTGGCAGTAACTGGGGTGTCTGGGGTTAGAAACAGGTGCAAGG